TGGAATCGAACGGAGTTCCAGGAATGGTCTCATCAACGTGGTCAGCAGCCGCGACGGTGTGACTGAAGGGCAGAAGTCAAAAAGTGTATTGTTCATTCAAAGCTGACGATACGTACGAGGCAAGGAGAGCGACAACTTCAGCGGGGCTGAATCCGGCATCGCCGAATCGAGCGAGGATTTTGTCAACCGTGTCGAAAGGCTCAGGAATCAACAGGTCGGGGGACGCCTGTTTGGCAGCGGGGCGTCCGAACAAGAATGAAAGCCGGGGAGCACCAGGGCAGTTGGATACGCCGACAGCACCGGCGAATTGAATGCTATAGATACACATTAGGAGGCGCGTTCAGAGTTCCCAAGCATGAAACGTACAAGTCACCGGCAGATATGTTGTGCTTAGCGACGAAAGGCTTTTGAGCGTCGACGATCTCATCGATGCCGCCGTTAGCGTGGAATGGAGTCTCGGTGTCGGAGAACGTGATGATGGAACCATCTGCGCCTCCACCACCGAATTTTCCTTGCTTGGTCAAGGCGGGAGAGAAACCAATGGCGTCGTGGAAGGTGAGACGAAGGGACTCGTGCACCTCCTCACCGCACTCGCCACCATCGAACAGGTTCTCCTGAATATCATCCAGGATGGGGAATAGAGCGCAGCAGGCCGCGTTCGCCGTGGTACGACCGTCGGCGCAAGTTGCCTTGCGAACAATGGCAGCTAAAGACACTATGTCAACTGCGATGCAGCAATCAATTCACAAACTACTACTCACCATTGGAGACCTGGAAGGTCGCCGCCAGAGCAAGGAGAGAGGCAAGGATCTTGAAAGCCATTGCAAGAGACAACAGAGTCTGTTTGTGAAGAGACTGGTGCGCCTTGTCGTCCCTAGCTTCGAGACAGTCCTCCTTTTATACGTTGCAGTCTCCTTATTATTTGACATATCTGTGAATCAGACATCAGCGGTAAGAGTGAGGTGTTGATGCTGAGTAGTTGGAATTTGCCTGCCAGCCAATCACTTTACTGACTTTTGTGCACGTCCGACGCTTTCCCAAAGCAATTAGAGTGTTCTTCCCAGACACAGCGTTCATCTTGCGCGGATGGGAGATGTTGAGCTCGTCTAGAATGATGAGCACTCCCGGTGCGTGGAATCGGTACTGCTTGCTGATTCGCTGTACCATAGGTTCACCACTTTGGGTGAGAGTACCATGGACCAGGATGTGTTGGCCAACATGCCGGAGCATCATTCATTGACAATCCTTGGATTGGGTTCCCAGAGTTTGACGAGGGGCGGGAGCGGATACCCATGCCCGGGGGTGAACATACTCCGTAAGAGGCGATTCGACTTCTCTTTACACCGCAGGCGAGGGCAGCCCATGGACTCGTTCCTGACAACCGCTGCAGCATCCCGTTTCAGTAACCACACGTCGTGTTACCACTCTTGGGAAACAAGGCGGCAATGCACCAAAATCGGTGTGAACTTTCCTGCAGACTGAAAAAATTGCGAGTATACGTATGGGGAGGACTAGCAGAGTACAAACGCAAGCATGGACTGATCCTCTGTAAGTTCCAAGTTGAAAATGTTGCTAGCTTGAGATGAACCATTGACTGCACAGAGGTCGCCTTGATTTTGAGACTTTACTAGTGAAGCTTGTCGAGTCAGTACGTGTGCCTATCAGCCTTTGTTCCGCACCGAGGAATGTATCACGCATACGGATTTGACGTATCCCATGGTATGTAAGTCGTCTACCTATCCGAGAACGCACGGAGTACAGCCAGGCCAGTTCATTCTTCTCAGCGCTTTTCACACGGTACCTGGTTCGTGCATCTTCGCCAGGAATGTTGGCAGGTAACTCACTCACCTTTGTCAGGTCGCACGAATTTCATGGCAAGGTGAACGCAGCACTTATCAGGCAGGTAATCAGCTCAAGCATAAGAATTGGTAACACAACTTATCGGGCTCTGCGACAATGTAAGACAGCGGCAACCAGGAACCGGCACCCCTTACATAAGCGCTCAGATACCTCAAGTTCCTCCGCCTACTGCTCGACCACATTCCATGCAATGGGGTTTCTACCTTTAAGTCAGCTTTGTATGAGCACTGAAAATAGGTCCCAAAGAGAAAAATCAAAAAATTTTGACTTGTGATGTTACAGTAGGGAAATTTTTTCTAAACCCTCCCAAGCTTCATTGATGTATGTTTCCAGTGGAATGGCAGATTTTTCGCCAAAGTGACCCCCAAGAATTGTCACCTAATGTCACGCTAAGCGCCCAACAGCGTGACATGTGTCACAGTCACATCTACCCTAATGAAGTCAGATGTCGAGCCAGCTTGACTTCCTAGCCATATTACATACTCCTACAGAGGGCAAAACACATATGGAGCTAATTTAGAGCATAAATAGGCTGAGTAGCTATATGGCAGAGCCAATGAGGAGAATTTTGGAAAGTTGGATCATTAGCTTTGTCTCAAACCCTAACCCCAATACGCTTACGTAAGGGGTGCCGGTTCCTGGTTGCCGCTGTCTTACCTGTATTACTCGTCATGCAAGACACGGTGACCTGTGGGAATAGACGCGTCAAAAGGCTGGACGTGCGAGTCAATCATTAGGGTCGATCACTCTACCGTTGGGCCGGTTGAAGTATGAGAGGTACCTCGGTCGACCCGGCATGTGAACCTGAGAAGCACTCTCATACGTCCTTCGGGCTTGGCATGCAAAGTCTAAGAAAAGAGGTTACGATGCGCACGTCTGTGGAGTAAATCATGCCAGTGCAAAATATCTCACCGTTGATTGGAGCGTGAGGTTCTCAACGACTTCCTGGTCAGATAAACGAAGAATGTGAAGCTCTTCCACCTGCGTTGATCTGAATGGTGTGCTGCCGGCCATCGTGAATATGCAATCGTAGCCCATACGCTCACCCAGAGCATGATAACCTGCCATCATTTCTCTTGAACGTCTTTGTCGTTGAGGCTTTCGGCATCGAGACGTTCAACGATAGTGATTATAACCATCAACTGCCAAATGATATTTTGCACGCCTTCTCATGCCTCCCGCCTTTTCATACCTCCACCTCATCACCGAGCGGATCCCAATTCTGCCCAGAGAAAGGTTTCTCTTCCAATAACCCGCCAAGTGGGTCATCCTGCTCGTCCTCTGCAGGGTCTTCTTTCCTACTCTTGCTGCTATCGTTGTCGGATGACTCGGATATCTGCAAGCTACGCCAATTGAGGGCCGGTTTGATTTTCTTCCTTGTCTTGCCCTTCTTCCTATCCGACCTCCGCTCTACGTGGGACATGCCACTTCTTGTGAGTCGTTCCATCCTTCGCTCCGCTCGTTCTACGCGCCTTCGGCGTAGAGGATTCTCCGGGTAGGGCGTGAGGGCAGGAAATGGCATGGGATCGGAGTAGTAATAAGACGACGAGAGGGAAAAATCAGAGTAAAGATCAAGCTCTGATCCCGGCTCCGACTCAGGTTCGGATAAGGGTAGACATGGCGGCGACGATGACAGATGGAGGTCAGGTTCAGAGTCTTCGGGGATAGGGTCATCGGGTAAGCATCGCCGCAGGATACCTTGTTCCCTGTCACCTTCCCGCCTCAGGAAATTGGCAAATGCTTTGTGAGCATTCCAACGTGCGATATCAAGCTTAGAGGTAGGTTCAGACTGTGCGGTAAGGTCCGCGACAGGAACAGTTTCGTCGCCGTCGTCATTCAGGTAGGTATGCGCAACTTTGATAGATCCGCCTGCGGTACCTTGAGCGAGTAGCACAGACGGGCTGCTGCTCAGTCCTCTCCTCGGAGGAGGCACCTCCAGGGTGTTCACCGTGATGTGAACCTGCACCCCTCTGCAGTGGGTCTACGTGGGGTTTCAGCCAACTTTTATGTGCGTCAACTATGCGAATACCCACGTATATAATCCCCCTATCAGCAGAGAACCCCTTGGACCATACCTGTGCCAAGGTGAGATCGTCTTCGCCTTCCCATGTCCAGCTATCCATCTCCTTCTCCGCGTCTGACTCTTCGAACTGCGCGGCACCATCGGCATCTTGGGGCATAAGCAGCTTTCGGAGGAGCTTTCGCTCTCGGACGCTCGACAGTTTCTTCACTGTCTTACCGTGCTGAATGACACCAACCTGAGTAGAATACTTGTGCATCGTGACGCGCTTCTGCACTTCAAACTTGTGACCTTGCCACCATGTGTTTGAGTAGTGATATGCGCGACCCTTCCCCTTATCATTACTAGGATTAGGTGGAGAGAGCTTATCGTGTGCATCGGACGCGAACAGGAAGAGAATAAGTTTATGCAAATGGCGGAATGTATAGTTTCTGGGCACTCGGACCACGCGGTATACACCACCCCTCTGGCGTTTGAGGCTCGGCCTTTCCATGTCACGAACAAGCTGGAAACGCAAGACATAGTGCTTGGGTATGCCCGTTGGTTGGGGTAACTGCAGTGCGGCGAGAGTGCGCTCCAAGCCAAACGGGTTGCCAGGAGAGTCCAAAGGTGTACCAAGCGGTGCGCGAACCGAGAAAGCAGAGCGGTAAGGGGTCGTGTTTAGTCCTATGCAGCTTGTAGGTTGAGCTGTCGGTGAAAGCGGTGGGGCAGCGCGTATAAATGGTCGTTTTGAGGTGAGAGAAGGCGGCGAAGACCCCGGACTATCATACGCGTCTCGAGATCGTTTGAGCATGGCAGCGGTAGGATAATGAACCCAAAAGATGATAGGTACGGCGACGAGCAGCGGAAAGGCTCTACATACATCGCCGTGTTCAAGAGTGGCAGTCAGCGTGCAAATTCTATAAAGTCATGAATATGAGACAGGTCGTCGAGGGTACTAGATACCTTGTGCGTAGCGGATACTGATCAAACTTGATCGGGTGATGGAGTCGAAGACTGGAAGAGTTTCTGGGCACACTCCGGTGGTCGCGTCCAAGTCGCGTCCAAGTCGAGTCGCGAACGCGCGCTGCCCCTTCTTTCCCTAATTGTACAGCAATCTTTAGTCTTCGACGAAAAGCAACCTTCGATAGCTCAGCTGGAAGAGCGTGAGACTGTAATTGGATTACGTAATCATTATCTCAAGGTCGCTGGTTCGAACCCGGCTCGAAGGATTCTTCAGCGGTGAAGTCTTTTTGGCCCTTTGAGTTGGTCTGTTAGACAACTCAGTGACTGGCAGAAAGGTTGGCAGTCCGCGACTTTTTGACAAGAGAGAAGCGAAGATACGATTCTGGGCGCTTCACCAAATGATGAGCGCCGGAAGGGATTTTCATAAAAATGTACTGAGATTCGAGAATTGAAAATCACTGGAGCCTCAATAATTCTTGTGCTTAAGTCAATTCAACGTAGCAGGCAGAGAAAAATACAGTCTACTGTCAGAACCTAATGAAAGGAGCAGTAAAACCAGTGCAAAGTGCAAAGTAAGTATTCTGAAGGAACATGGTCAGGAGGTTAAGTGTCATTGCGGGGGGTCGAACCCTCGACGCACGGGCATGCACAGGTTACCCTCTACATTTCACGCTTCCGCGGCTTGAATGAGCGTTGGGACCTCTCCCCGAACTGAACGTCTTGCCACGAAGATGCTGTCACCGTCTGGTCATGGATATAGATATTGTTGGTCAACATAGATATAAGTACAACGGATGGTATGCTTGAAAGGCGCATGCCAGTAGCGGTAGCGTAAGTACTGTAACCACCTTTTATGCAAGAATCCCCAACGTCTTGGGAGACAAGCATGCCTTCACCAGGGAAGTGTCGCTCCAGACACCTGAAGTGTTGGTGGGGACCTCGCTGAGAACGTAACTCGGGTCGAAGTTTCCTGCTGCCCAGCCAACGTATCCGAGGAACACTTTACGAGAATATATGTTAGCTTTGAGTCGAGATGGTCACAAATAGATGCGCAACTCACCATCAGAGTTTTGTGCTTGGAATTTGGCTTGTTCACAGAGGAATTGTTGGCAGGAAGCGGTATTACCACCACCAGTCTCGGTGTTGAAGGCTTGACGGCCATTGCACCGCAGCCATTCTGCCAGAGGAGCCCAAGCGTCGTCAATGTTGTTGGTAGTACATTCCGCGTTGGTTCCCCTGAGGACAACACATGTTAGTTCCGGCTTTGTTCGTTGGCACTTGATCAGTTCACTCACGAGTTGTCATGGTCAAGGTATTTGTGGACGTCGAAGACAAGGTTGGTGATGCTTCCGTCGGGGTTGGTCACCTTCTTAAGTGCATCGGCCGAACCGTTGGAGACGAATGTGGCAGCGGAGGTCCAATTGTTCCCGGGGAGGAGGATGATCTGCGAGGTAGCACTACGGCAATTCAAGGTCGTGATAAGCACAGTTGAATATAAGAAATAGCACAGCTGCTTACCCTGCGTTACGGATTGCAGTCACTGCTGCTTGTACGGATTGTGCCCATCTCTCGATGTCGGGCACATCATGCGGTTCATTCATACTGGGGTATAATCAGTTTCATAGCGATTCGAGATGGACGGAGCTGACATACACGCCGAATATTATCTTGCTGTTCGAAGCGTATTTCGCGGCCAGGGCGCCCCAAAGCGCAGCGAACTGGTCATCAGTTGGACCACCTTGGCCGATGATCTATACTCAGTCAGCAAATGGAGCAAGCGAGAGACACGTCCGTGAGCATCAATCACCTCTCCGTCCCAACGGGCGTAGTTGTGGACATCAACGATGCAAGCTGCAGCGCCCGAGTTGATGCAAGTTTGCACCAGAGTATCATACTCCTGGAAATTGGCTTCGTTGATGTCCCCGCCAAGGACGTCGTTTGTAAGGAATTGCCAGCCAACGGGAAGTCGGAAGACGTTGAAACCATCGTCCTTCACGAAGTGGTTCATTTGACCTTCGCCGTCATGACCGTAGTATTGAAGCAGAGGCGGCCAGGCAGCACTAGCAGTGCAAGAACCATCGCTGTTACAGCCGAAGTCGAAGCCAGCGATGTTGACACCAGCAAACCGAAGCTTCCCGGCGCTCGCTGGAGGTGTCGCACAAGACGAAGACGGACTGGCAGGTCCGCTAGTAGTTGGACTTGGGGCAGATGTACCCGTCGGGGCACTAGTTGTCGCGACAGTGGATGACGCAGCACCAGGGACACATTGGGAATAGTCTACCAAGGGAATCAGACTGTATGCAATGAGCGAAAGGATCTGCCACGTACAGTCGTTGATGACTGAGCAAACATTACCAGAGACACATGTAGTTGGTCCTGTCCAACCCTGGTACCACAGTCAATCATGTATAAAGGAGAATTGCGAAAGCTACGTACAATACCACCGCCTGTTGCGTATATAGAAGTCAGCATGTGTAGAATAGAGGCTACGTTGAATGAAATATTACCCACATTGACCCCAAGCGGGTGCAGCTTGTTGCGCCCGAGTGGACAATGCCCACAGCGAGATGGACGTTAAAGCGAGAAGCAACTTCATGATATAGTGATCCCCAGGGACGATGTGCGAGCGCACTATGAAGAGACCGACTCATAGCACGCTGGCTTTATAGCACCTGCATAACGAGGGAATATATTAATAGCACAAGTAGTCAGAAGTCTTCCTTCGTGAAGACCAGCTATCCACCGCCCGACGTCCTGCCGACCCGTAACAGGACCATGCTCTGGCGTCGGACACGTTGTCAGGCTTATCCGGAGTCCACCTGATTTGATTGCGAGGTCATTGTGTTCGAGGGAAGTATGACAGAACGTTACCGAGGTCATCGAAGGCGGGTCATTCTCGTCACAACGTCGGTAGAGTGCGGCTTTCCGTAGTCAATATGATCACACCATCTAGAGGACTTTCTCTTTTCATAAATCTTCTTTTACCAGCGAGATATAGTTATGGCAACTAAGATGCGTTTGTCGCAGAACGGTTATATGTCTCGAGAATGTCGGAACCAGGGAATCCTAGCCTGTATCAAGCTTCCCTGAAGTGACTGTTCGTCGTACACAAACCTGAGGGTTTGCATTGGCATCGGCTCTGGAAATACTGTAGCATGGCGTACATTGTACAATGAAAGAGTTCTGAGCGGCGCTGCCTTGGTCTTGGAAGATTGAGAAACTGTGTTGAACTCGAGGTGGCCGCGTAACAAAAAGCCGTTACGTCAGAGCGACAATACTATGGGCGCCTGTAGGCGCGCAACTCAAACAAATAGGGTCTCCGCGTACTTACTTACCTGCAAGACCGCGACGTCTTGACAGCCTTTACTGTTCAACCATTACATCCATATTCTCCACGTAGCTTCTTCGTATTTGAGCTCGTCTTTGACGCACTTTCGAAGTGCGGTATCAAACCAATTCTCCGCAAAATAGGCCTCGGAAGACATGATCCAAACGGGTCTCATTCAAAACGCGCATAGCGATTTGACAACCGACGCGTCTTTCGACTTCTACGGACTTCGCTTGGCGACTTGTGGCCTTGACCAAAGGTATGTACAAACTACTGATCTATATTTAGTTGGGGGGAATGTATGAACGGCCGTCGGACACAGAATCAAAGTCTGGTCGCTCAATGAGGCACAGGGAACATGGAGCGTAGAGGATGACTGGAAGGTGCGTTTTGTTAGCTCCTAACACAGGAGCCTGGAGTCAAGCCTCTTTGATTCTAGGCTCACGACGCCGCCGTCTCCAAAGTTGCCTGGGCACATCCTGAATTCGGAACCATTATCGCGTCCTCTTCGTTCGACCGAACGGTGAAGATTTGGGAGGAAACATCCTATGTTGACTCTGAACAACCTCAATTGAACGGACCCTCAAGTCTATCCAGCTCCTCGAAATGGACAGAGCGGGCTGTTCTTCTGGACGCGAAGGGGACTGTTCGGGCAGTTGAATTTGCACCGCACCATTTCGGGCTGAAACTCGTTGGTCTTTTTTGCGCAACGATCTAGTATACGACTTAACGTACATTGTTGTTCTAGGCCACAATATCCTCCGACAATCTTCTTCGCGTTTACGAATGTCTCGAACAACCGTCCCTGTCAACATGGCAACTTTCTGAGGAAGTTGACATTCTTTCACTTCCTTCCACTTCTCCTGTCTCAAACTCAATGTCACATACCGTGACTCAACTGACTCCCACTCTGACTGCGTCGACAATAGAGGGTGCTACTGCCTCGCTCGTATCGCACGCCTTGCAACAGCAGCAACAGGGACAAACTACGTCGAGACCTGGGATTGGAAATCGAGAAGTATGTCAATTCATCGTTCCATTATCCACCAGTATTGACGTATATTCAGGCCGATGGCGGCTGGTGCATCTCTTGGTGTAAAGATAGATATTGGGGAGAAGTCATTGCGGCAGGATGTGGCGTAGACGGCAAGGTCAAGGTCAGTATATTTCGCGCGACACTCAATATTGCTGCCACTAATGAACGCGTCTATTCAGATCGTTCAACTGTCGCCGTCTCGCAGGCCATCAACGCTCCTAACATTGGATCCCTCACCAACACGGTCTCAAGATACAAATGTTCCCAGAACACCTGGATTCCCGACAACAGACGGCGAGCATACGACATTCGCAGTCACATCAGTTTCATGGGCACCCTCTTGCGGTCGCTCCTACCAGCTTATAGCTACGGGCAGTCGAGACGGGAAGGTGCGGATATGGCGCGTCAAACCTCCTATGTTGCACGATGACTTGGAGGATGGCGATGGTGACACGGATGGCGGCGAAGGCACCTGGAGCGCCAGTCTTGTAGGGGAATTCGATGACCACAAGTACGTTGACATCCTTTCATTGCTAAACCGTGGTACTCAATATACTGGACAGATCTGCGGTGGGTCGCGTGGAATGGAATATCACAGGGTAAGCGCAGCCTAGCTTCTTCTCACCATATGATGTCCGATACTATTGTCTTTCGCTTTCAGGACCATATTATCCTCAGCTGGAAACGACGGGAGGGTCCGTCTTTGGAAAGCTACGGCAGGTAACGTTTGGAGACCTGCAGGGCATGTAAGCGTGGAGCAAGCAGAAGAGCTGCCTCCAAATAGCGATGTGGATGAAGATGCGATGGCTGACTGAACGATGTTCCTCCTAATGTGCATATTTCTCAACATTCTCCGACCGCCGAACTGTGGGAGTCCAGCTGGAAAGAGTTCTGACCTGTCT